AAATGATTAATTTATAATAAAGAACAAGACATCATGATTTATTCTCGTCGTTGAAAGCATTAAAGAAAAAAGAAAAGCCCGGTATATCGATATTTATAGTACACCACTAAAATTTGCTAATACGAGATTGAAAAAAGAAACTAACACAAAGCGTCAGGCAGTCTGCAGTCAGACTCGCTGTTGTACAAAATCAAATATGAACGAACGAACGAAATCGCCATGCAAATTGTAACATTACACTGTCGTTTTAAAGGCTAAGAGAAACGCAAAATGAAACTTGTTCTATGTTTATTTTCTTGCTGTAAGTAAGCAAATTTAAACCTGGGTCACTTAAGAGTAAAAAAGAAAAACAAATTGGATGAACTACGTCATTGAAGTAAAACCGGTAAAAAGGAATTTCAGTCTTACTACCCAAATACTCAAGACTGAATTATTAATGAAGATGAAAATTAAATAGCTTATACGGGACTGAACAAACATTCAACTAGGGTCAGTTTTAATTAAAACAAAGTTGATATTGAATTTTTGCTCATTAAGCCTTCAGAATAAATTATAAAAGATCTCTACAGATCTCTATAATACCTTAATTGTAAGAGTTTGGTTTATTTTTGGCTAACTTTTAAATAGTATCATAATCATCTAGCTATTTAGCATCGTGATCAGTTTTAAATATAGAATTTTGTTAAATAATAAAGTTAAAAAATCATCACTTCACTTCAACATGAATTCCTAAACGAATTTTTCTCGAATAAAGGAACATATGAAAAACAAACTAATATTATATCTTCTACAAGCGCAATTTCAAAAGCAAGATCGTTAACGTTTAAAGCATTTTACCGAAACTCGGCTGTGTTCATTGTAGAATCGCTAATATCTTTGATGACAGGCCTAAGTGATATTTAAATACGGGCTACCATCGTTTCTTTTCAATAAAATTATGCTTACGGCCTTTATGGAACATTCAATGGAGTATAATCACAGTCGTATGTTTTGAGCGGGTGTATTGTAACTCAGGTTGTATTGGATAGTTATACAGTCTTAATATTTCTAGTTATTTTATGGTGAAAGTTTTGGCTACTTTTTTATGCAACTTGGAATGGCAAACAAGCTAACGGCCCACCTGATGGAAAGTAGTAACCGTCGCCAATAGACATAAATAGTACCACAAAAATAACAAAGATGATACCCCCATTAGTTGCCATTCCTGAGGACTATGGTGTTATGCCTCTGTACAATGTAATTTCAATGCTATATCCTGCATTTCTTTTCTTGCCATCCCTTCCTTTCCCGTCAGTGTCGTAAGAGGCGATTAAGAAAACAATGGTCTAGGGACAGGCAGCAGCAATCCTATTAAAACGTCACCAAAAACCTAATTGCCAACTTACGTGCTATGCGTGGCAACTACTGGCAGAAACCATCCAATTGTAAACTAACATAATGGACGGCCCTGTTTCTTATGGTAGTCTATGGGCAGGCCTATTCTCTGCAGTGGACAGTTAATGGATGATATGAACAAATTAATAAATCACCAACATCATAGTAGATCGATTTTTTTAAAGTAATATATAGCTAATATTATTTCCTGATAGATTTCCATAGGTCAAAATAATTTTTAAACTTTTTGAATAATATGTCCTTTAGAAATAAAAATAAAATCTACCCTCTATGTAGCATAAAATATAGTTTTAGATTTATATTAGTCCATATTAATATTCAGAATGGAATCAATTCAAATAATGTCACAGATTTTAATATGCAAATATTTATTTGAACCCTTACACGAAACAATTCACGTTATTCAATCTTCTTATAATCAATCATGTATTCATATTTGTGGGATTTATAAACATTGGAACAAACCTTTCCATACAGCTGTGACAAATAAATGCAATAAAATTTCAAAACCCTGACACAACGCTCATCTCGACAGTTCTCCTTTGTCATCCATTCGAATGAATGACTGAATAGTGAACCGATACTTTTCTCATACATTTATCTATCTGGATATTTGTAATAGACTATTTATTCTCTCTTGTAAAACTCTCAGCAGAACGATTTGCTCATTGCAATATTTTACAGCGTCGTTGGTTTTTACATCAGCTACTACCAGTAGAAATGCTTACAGAACAACTCAAAGGGTTGTAATAACGATAAGGATTCTAAATTACAAGATATTTGATTGCTTAATATTATTTCGGTTCCTGATGCAGGAGTTATAATAACCATTAATATCGTATATTTATTTACATTAGTACAGTGCCTCAAGGTGCAGCGTATCGTCTTACACTGTCACGTAAAGCACTGTTCTCCCCCTGAAGAGGACTTTCGGATGTAGTCGGAAACAACAGACATAGTAAATTAATTACATGTTTAATTATTTCTCAAAACCTTTACTATCAAAAACTTCTTCGTTCATTTGATACTTAATAAATTTGAGTTATAAAAATATGTCCAAATTTGCGATTAAAATAATTTTAAACATTGTATTTTGGCTGTTATTTATTATTTTTCGGTTTGAAAGACTAGACGCAGATGGCTCGGGCATTACCAACAGATTTACGTCAATGAACGAAAACAAAATAGCTCTCACAATGAAACCAGCTGATTGTCTCGATTTTGCCCGCACAAACACGTTATCTCCCGTTCCGTGGAAATTATAAATAACCTGTAATTACTCAGGAAAAGTGGTACATTTCCAATAATTAAAGGATGAATGAGTTTTTAGAATCGGTTCAGTGATTCCATAGAATTTGTAATGAATATGTAGATTTATTTTTTATTATACCTCTTATGGCCGTGTGGTCCCGGCGTAGAACAAGCCACATCTTCCTTTCCCATGGATGTCGAAAGAGACTAAGGGAGGGCAAATGATGAGCAGCAGCGTCCCTCTTAAAATCTCTAAAACCTGACTGCGGTTGCCAATTCGCCTGTCCAGCGTGGCAACTACTGGCTATCGCTTTAATTTGCCTTGATTTTTTTTATACAACTTAGAATGGCAAACAAGCTAACGGCCCACCTGATGGGAAGTAATAACCGTCGCCTATAGACATGAGCAGTACCATAAACATAACAGAGTATACTGTTTCGCCCATGATACCCCCCATGCGTTGCCATTCCTGAGGACTCAGGTGTTATACCTCTGTACCAAGTAAATTCACGCCATATCCCACCCTTCAAACCGAAACACAGCCATGCAAACACAGCTGCTTCACGGTTGAAACACGAATGGGACAGAGGTATCCAAGACTTTTGTACAAAGTCTCCCTCTTGATGTTTACTACATGTTATTTACTATATTTATTTAGTATATTTATATTTATGTACTATTATTTATAATATGTATGTTTATATGATTTAAGGTTATTTTTATATAAATGATATTTAGAATAATATGCATTTTATTTGGTTACTTTTTTTTGTATTACTGTGTCTGATTTGCTCCATCTACCTTTCTCCCTTCATCTATTATTTATGCCAGATTGTTTGTAAGAGATTCCTTTTAGCGATAAGCCCGCATTACCTATATATATATATGAATACTCCTTGTGTACGTCTCTTTTGAGCGCAATAAAGTGTTTATTAGTATTATAATAAAATAAAACTCGGTCTCAAAGTAGGTGCTGAAAACTTTTCTAGACCGATAGATCTGGTCTCATTAATTTTGAACCAACATACAATAGCTGCCAAACAGGAGATCCCGTCTGAATACGGCCGCACACTTAGTTTACCTCGCGCGAGCTTGTTTTTTAAGCCTCTTGTTTTGCTCTCTCACAATGAATGAATAAAACAATTTTACCTGAAACAAAAACGAAACAAATGTTTAATCCGCTGAGTGGTTTTGCATTTTAATTAAATTTCCCAGGGCCTCTCGCCAAGAATAGGATTTATTAATAGCATTTTTTATATTATTAGCATTAATTAAGAAAGTAATTAATTTAACGCGAACACTTCACGTCTTGTTGTATTCGAGATAATACTCTCACATTCGTTTATTATATTAAATAACAATAATTTAATCCAGATACTGACAGACCCATATAAAATGTTACATGATAAATATAATATCATTTATGATTTGGATTAAAATTAACTGTTCTCAATATTTAATTATCAGGCAGTACACGGAATTGTTCCCGGATAGCTTTAATATAGTATTGCTACAATCTGCATTTCTGTGACGAAAACTTGCTGTTTATATTTTCTTAAAACATGTTTCATTAGTATATACGGAAAGCATCATTATATTGAATTCGTACAGTAGCTCCTCCTATAAAAGTTAGTGGTAGTCCAAAGTTGACTTGTGTAAAAGTTTGTACAATAAGTTTGAAACAGTATGATTTTGTGTGTGCGTGTGTGTGCGTGCGTGCGTGCGTGCGTGCGTGCGTGGGTGCGTACGTGCGCGCTTGCGTGCGTGGGTGCATGCGTGCGTGCGTGCGTGCGTACGTGAGTGCGTGCGTGCATGCGTGCATGCGTGCATGCGTGCGTGCGAGCGTGCGTGCGTACGTGCGTGTGTGCGTGCGTACGTGCGTGTGTGCGTGCGTGTGTGCGTGAGTGTCGTGTCGTGTCGTGCATGACACGGTATACTCTGTTATGTCCATGGTACTGCTCATGTCTATAGGCGACGGTTACCACTTTCCATCAGGTGGGCCATCAGCTTGTTTGCCATTCTAAGTTGCATAATAAAAGTCACATGCAGCCACGTAATGTTTCATATGCAATCTTATCATCTTCCATTTTGTACTGGATTGTTTCCTTTTTATTTCTCAAATGATATTTATTGCATTTAAAACTGATATTAATATTTATCTTATCAAGTGGAACAGTCGTGAACTTTATGAAATAAATGTTAAGTACCGTGTAAACATGACTGTTATTATATTGTACGCTCATTCTGGTTTGTGGAGTTTTATGTGACTTACATGGCTTTACATTATTACATTGATAATGATATAGTACTTATAGGTTAGTATCTCTTTTTTTTAAACACAGGGAGCAAACGAGCATGCGGCTCACCTGATGGTAAGTGACTACCACCGCCCATGATCACCCGCAACACCGGAGGCATTGCAAGTGTGCTGCCGGCCTTTTAAAAAGGAATATGCTCTTTTCTTGAAGGTTATGTTGTCGTATCGGTTCGGAAATACTGCTGCTGGAAGTTGATTCCAAAGAGTGGTTGTGCGTGGAAGAAAGTGCCTTGAAAAACGCACGGTGGAGGACCGCCACTCGTCCAGATGGTTAGGGTGAAACTTTAGTATCTTTTATTATATATTATTAATTTATTATTTATTATATAGATTTTTATCTCCATTTTTATGCAAATACAAAAACAGTTGACGACCTACATGATGGAAAATAGTAATGTAAACTGTACTGTGGATATAACAGAGTATACTGGGATACCCATGGTACACAGGGGGGAAAGGGATTGTTAGTAATGGAGACTAAAAATCCCATTGCTAGCAATACACCCAATCAGGTCGACCTCCTCGCAGTTCCCTCTGGAAACTATCATGGTTAATTCCTGATGAATTCATCATGATGGGCTAACTGGCCTGTTTTCATTCTCATCTGTCACCCTTCACTGGTGCTCCGCTAGCGTATCCCGTTAGCGCAGGTGGAGTTACCATTTTCATCCACCAAAACAAAAAACCCCTGGTACACTTCATGCGCTGTCATTTCTGAGGACAAAGGCGTTATATTTCTGTACCCTGTAATTTCATTGCCATATTTCACCCAAATCATAGCCACGCAAATAACTGTTTTAGGGTAGAAACACGAATAGGACCCAAGCAGACAACATTTGTACAAAGCTTCTTTCTGTTATTTTATGTATGTTTATGGACAGAAATACAAGTGAGATAATATACTAAACGATTTTCTTCAAAATCTCTTTTAGATGAATTTGTTGGAGGGTCCACAGTTGATAAGGCGTTGATCCTTAATATAAATTTTAATCTGAAAGCTTATGCTTTTGTTAAGGGATGCCTGTCGTTTCAGATTATGAAAATCTCAATGTTGACTAAAATTGGAGTAAACGAGAGGAAAAAGAGAGTCGTTAAAAACTTAATTAAGAAGCAACTTATGCGTTATGAGACACTCTTAGTGATGTACGAATATAAAGGAGTGTGCAGCTCCAAAAGATCCATTTTAAACTTTTCTAGCAATATTTCTGTTCTTCTAAGTATTTATGTATGTTTCATTAATATTATAAATGCGAAAGTTCGTAACAATGTATGGATAAATGGATGGATAGATAGTTACTCTTTTATCCAAAAAATACTAAACGTATTTGAACGAAATTTAGATACATAAGTAGGTTATATCCTAACTTGGCTAATACAGATTCACAAGGGTAAAACTGCGGGGTATAGCTAATAAATAATAAATTGTTATAAAGTTAAAAATATAAGTAACTCATTGCCTATTACAGATTATGACGATTAAGAAACATGTATCAGGACAAATGTTCGTACGCAATTGTTATTGTTAATAAATAACTGGATGTATAAATATAACTCAAAAGGAGTCAATTCTTATATATATATATATATATATATATATATATATATATATATATATATATATATATATATATATACATATATATCTACTCAACCCTTTGAAATTTAGAAATTCATCTAAACCTACTCTGCTCTGCTGTTGAAATGTTTTGTCTCTTTTTTTTTTGCATTAAATTCTCAATTTGAAAGAAAGTGACAAAAGAGTAATACACAGTTTAAATGGGTATATAAAAAAATGTTTTTATGAATGAGGTAGTCCTTAATCATTACCGAAAAAAATATACTTTTAAATTAAATAGATAGATACAGAGTTGAGAGTTTATGAATAAACTTTTAGATTACTTAAAAGGCAATCTTGTAAAGGTTATCGATAAAGGCAATTTGGGTAACAAAGGCCCTTTGTTTCCTAATAATAAACGGTCGATAATTGACAAGACATGTACCTAACAAGGTTGTGCAATTCTGAATTAGATTATTTATTATGATAGGATGTAAGTGATTAATTTATATTGCTTATAATTTTAAATCCAATATTGTAGAATAACGGCAAGCATATGATAAGTCTGTATTGTGATTTTTTTTTTACAACAGGGGCAAAGGAGCATGCGGCTCACCTGATCACGCACAACACCAGCGGCATTGCAGGTGTGCTGCCGGCCTTTTAAAAAGGAATATACTCTTTTCTTGAAAGTTATGTTTTCGTATCGGTTCGGAAATACTGCTGCTGGAAGTTGATTCCAAAGAATGGTTGTGCGTGGAAGAAAGTGCCTTGAAAAACGCACGGTGGAAGACCGCCACTCGTCCAGATGATTGGGATGAAACTTTAGTTTGTGGCGAGTTGTACGGTGGTGAAAATCAGCAGCAGGTATCAATCCGAACAATTCCTCAGAACACTCCCCATGATAAATTCAGTGGAAGATGCACAGAGATGCAACATCTCTGCGCAATGTTGCAATGCGATTATAATATACTGTTAGAGGTTCATGTTAAAAAAATTACCGTGTGGTCCCGGTATAAAATAGGCCACCCATGCCTTTCCCGTGGGTGTCGTGAAAGGTGACTTAGGAAGGGTGAGGGGTGGAGTACAGCAGTCCAACGTTATAGTAGTAGACAGGATGAAGTCGCTGTTGGGTCACCGTTCAAAGAATTTCGAAAATTCAACCTATAACGGGTTGAAATGAAGGTCAAAATTTTGTTTAGAATTTCCTTAGTTTAAAAGTTACACACCTAGAATTTGAATTAGCTCATGGTTCCAACAAAAATCCGCGAGTAATCGTATACCATATGCGAGCAAAGCCTCGGTCAAAAGCTTGTCTATTAATATTTATTTATTTATTTCTTATTGCATTCCATAATATACTTAGTAGATAACATTTCAATTATGGACCCTGTTGGGCACAGCAGTAGTAGTACGAGAGAGGAGGACAACACTTTTTTCACTTTAGAAATAGTCTAAGGATCTGTTACAATATTATCCAGTCATTGAAATTGTGTCACGATAGCTACGTATTTTCTTACTATTATTATTTTTCATTATTTAAGTATTTGTGTGTATCTATTCATGTCGTAATTGTTATTAGTATTATATAGTTATTCAATATATTCTGTAGTTTATAATTATTTATATTCATATTGTAAAATTAATTAATAAATAGTTTAATTAATATATACTTATAATACTTATAAGTTACAATACAATCATATATGACATGTTGCAATAAACAATAACTCATAACTCCCGGCACAGTAGTGTGTCAACACACGTGAACATAAATCCAATCCAATCGCCTTTCACTCTTGGCGGCATTGTTGCCGATTGTAAGTAATTATCTAATCTCGATCTCATTCATGTCTACAGCCAGTGTTACCAGATTGGGTATTTTTTCCACAATTTTGGGTAAAAAATTGTATGATAGAGAAAATAAAAAAATATATTGTTAGTGACATTTTTTTAATAAAATAGCAGTAGATAATTTTGGATATTTATTTTTAAATTAGTAAAGTATATGTTCAAGTATACCCATCCATAACATACACCAATGAAAGTAGTAACAATGTGTTAAAACAGAACGCCCTTTTCTTTTTTTTTTAAATCGAATTAAAAAAGATTAAGATTCACAATTCGGTATGTTTTTTTTTTTTGTTTCTTACTTCAGAACTCAGCCAGTTAATTTAGAAAATTCTATTTCCAACTGAAAAGATATACTTAGAGACTGGTCTCTGTTTTATGATCACTCTTTTGCCACAACCGAAGTCAAATTTTGAGAAACACAATTTTAAATTATTTGTCTCCCGTGTAGTTTTTACATAGTAAAATACTTAGAAAAAAGCTCAATAATTTTAAAATTATGGAATTCTCAATGAAATTGGAATAAATTCGCTAATGATTTAACGTCAAGCCCCAAACATCATTAGCGGTGTAATGAATTAAACATTGAACACTCGGCTAACTTTACTCAACTTCTTGTTTTCAGGGTTCTACGAAAAAACTGGAGGAACGACAAAAAATAATGAAAACTCATGAAAGATTAATAACAATAAATAATCATATTGTAAAAACTGTACTCCTCACTGCATACCAGACGACAAAAGATTTTATAATGAAATAATTTAAATTTGTATTTTGTAATTAATGTGTATTTTAAAAATAATAATAATAGTATGTATAATTAATAATGTAACTGTAAACTAATGGGTATATACCTGAAAATAAAGATTTATTTATTTATTTATTTATTATTATTTATATGTATATATAACGAAAGCGACTTAGAAATCTTTTAACACCAGAGGGCGACCCCTCACTGAACTATAGCAGTATTTTGTTAAAATGTAACGATATTTATTTGCTGTGAATGTGGTATATAATGGGTAAATAATAAGTACATATATAGATAGATAGATACCCTTTATTGTTTCCTCCAAAAGATTACAATAGTAAACATATTATAAATATAAATAATTACAAGAAATAATCACAATGAGAAAACAACGGGCGACCTTATTGCTAACAGCGATCTCTTCCAGGCAATCTTTAGATGGAGAAGAGTAATTATAAACAATTTGGTGGGAGGCACGATGAAAAATTTTGTTAGTTCTAAATATAGGAGATGTGATACATATAATAATATAAATATTATATAGTATAATATATATACATATCTAGTATTTGTTTGTCAATTAACAGCTCATAATATTATTCACATATCATTGCTCTTTTAAGGGTAAAGCAATAAACTGAGTTGTGACCATTTTGTGTTACTATACTATATGTTTTTATATAGATAGTTAGGTGCCGGCCGTTAGGTTGTTTGGCACAGCATTACATGACAAATACAAATCAGCAATAATAAGATTGTATTTTTGTTATAGATATCTTCAGCTACTTCGAGAACTAAAAGTATCATCAACTTGTCTATTTTTCAAACAAATCTATTTTTAAACTTATCAAACCATTGGAAGTAAACGTTCAAAACCTTTTTCATATCGTAATAGGTGTATTAATAAATCAATAATTTAACAAACTCATAAAATTATGTCAACCATTTTACATTTAAAGTAATCATTAATGGAAGCAGAATATATGATATTATTTGTACATACAAAATGTAATCAGTGTTCTGTAAATTGCGGTTGTGTCATATGACTGTACCTTAATAATAGTAAATAGGCTATGATGTAAATAGGCTTACATAGTTATATATAACTATATTATATAAATATATTGATTTAAATTAAATTAAGTGCCTCTACCTCTACCCAAAGGTTGTCTGGAAGAGATTGCTTAATAACAAGGCAGCCTTTTATATCATTTCTCATTAAAATTAACTGTATTTACTATTTTATAAATGGTGCAATAAAGTGTAAAATAAAATAAAAAATAAGTCCTACCCCAAGGGCTTCCGCTGAAAATCAGCGCTGTAGCGCCTTAACTGCAGGATAATTCTCCTTCACCGTCTATACATATTATTTAATAAGCTATTATTTATTTATATACATTTATTAAAAAAAATTAAAAGTATAAAATTATCAGACTTTATTTCAATTCAATTACAGTTTAAATATAGAAACAAATAAAATACAATAAATAAATATATTTTTTATTAAACTTAATAATAATAACTTTTCAAATTGTAATTTTTTGCTTAATCTACCGCCCAGTTCGATACGCAATTTCGGACAAGAAATACCTGTTGTTTTTTTTTTTTGAAATAAAAGTGTACAACAAAAAAAAATTACCGGATGAAATGACTATCACAAACTTCCTATTGACAAAAAAGCTACAACGCTACTATCAGTCACAGTATTCTCGAACAGACCAGTCTCTACTAGAAGCATCCGTTCACGAGTATGACGTTTGAGCTAACCATCGTTGTGTTCAACCAAATCATAGGGAGTCCAATGACCCGGCCCACTACGCCGCCACCAATCTGGATATTAAAGTGAGCGTGACTTTTTTTTACAACAAAGGGGGCAAACGAGCATGCGGCTCACCTGATGGTAAGTGACTACCGCCGCCCATGATCACTAATAACACCAACGGTATAGTAGATATACTGCCGGCCTTTTAAAAAGGAATATGCTCTTTTCTTGAAGATGACGTTGTCATATCAAGATTGTTTCAAGATACGCAGTTACGTCTCTACAAAGTTAATAAACATAATACTAATATCAAAATCGATTCAGAATTAATGAATATACTATTGTATGTAAAATATAACCGATTAAAAATATAATTAAACTATATACTCTGTTGCCTTGCTATAAATAAATAAATAAATATTGAGAGTTGATTGAAAATAACAGCTGTACGGAACACTACTTACATGAAAGACTTGCGCTTTACCAGTTTACCGTGCAGCTTTACATGGTAGTGTTTAGTGTTGCGTACATTATTGGATATCAGTTACAAAATTGGACATAAATTTATAAGAATTTTCGTTTTGTAAAGTGTTTAGTGGCGACGTTCACACGACAGCGTAGTTGCGTTAATATATAATACATAGATTTTTTTTTATACAACTTAGAATGGCAAACAAGCTAACTGTCCATCATCCTGATGGAAAGTGGTAACTATCGCCTATAAACATGAGCGGTACCATGGACATAACAGAGTATACTGTTTCGCCCATGATACCCCCCATGCGTTGCCATTCCTGAGGACTCAGGTGTTATTCCTCTGTACCCTGTAAATTCACGCCATATCCCACCCTTCAAACCGAAACAGAGCCATGCAAACACAACTGCTTCACGGTAGAAAGTCGTAGTCGCCTCTTACAATATACGAGTATATAGCAAAGGAGGGAGTGGCCCATTCTATACCGGGACCAGTAAAGACACCGTCCAGTTACAATTTTATTATATCAAGTAAGAAGTAAGAATGAACTATTAAATGTATAGAACACTTCGACATTTACAATTAAAATAGTTTCTTTTTTAGGAAAAGTTCATATTATATTCTGTTTTGTAAAAAAGTTTCAGGCATTTAATTTTCATTTCTAACTTTTACAATTTTTTTATGCAACTTAGAACAAATAGCAAACGAGCTGACGGTCCACCTGATGGAAAGTGGTAACGTATAGACATGAGCAGTACCATGGACATAACATAGTATACTGTTTCGCCCATGATACCCCCCCCCCCCCCCCCATGCATTGCTATTCCTAAGGACTCAGGTGTTATACCTCTGTACCCTGTAAATTCACTGTCATATTATACTCGTTAAACCGAAACACAACTGCTTCACGGTAGAAACACGTACGGAACAGAGGTACTCAAGCAATCAACTTTTTATACAAAGTCTCCCTCTGGTAAATATATATACATATATAGTGATACTAGTTGACCCCGTAAACGTTGTTTTACCACTTATTGCGAAATATAAAAATCGCAATTAAAATACAGGGGGTTGATCGTAAAACGATGAAAATTTAAAGTTGTGTGTATTTTTTAAAGCTAAATCATAATAAAATAAAAATGGAAAAATTTGTCAAAAAAATTTTTTTTTTATATAAGGTCACCCTTATCATTGAGGGGTATGAAAAATAGATGTTGGCCGATTCTCAGACCTACCCGATATGCGCACAAAATTTCATAAAAATCGGTAAAGCCGTTTCGGAGGAGTTTGGTAACAAACACCGCGACACGAGAATTTTATATATAAGATTGTATGTACATTGCGTAAAATGAAACAACTATAACTATATAATATTAATATTAATTAATTTTAAGTACACAATTAAAACACTAAGTGGCACTCGAAGTATTCTGTTTCACTCATTAGTGCCTTATATTTGTCTTCATAAAATGTTACAACTAAACGTTCATGAAAATCCGTGTTTATTTTCGTATTCTTACATAAAATTCACCAGACGAAGACTTTGTACAAAAGTCGATTGCTTGAGTACCTCTGTCCCATTCGTGTTTCAACCATAAAACAGTTGTGTTTGCATGGCTGTGTTTCGGTTTGAAGGGTGGGATATGGCGTGAATTTACTGGGTACAGAGGAATAACACCTGAGTCCTCAGGAATGGCAACGCATGGGGGTATCATGGGCGAAACAGTATACTCTGTTATGACCATAGTACTGTTCATGTCTATAGGCGACGGTTACCACTTTCCATCAGGTCAGTCAGCTTGTTTGCCATTCTAAGATGTATAAAAAAAATCTTTCTGAAGGAAGACTCATAAGACTAGTTATGAAAGTGCAGAATGCAAGAGATGTATGTAAGGTCGGACTGAGGTCCTTTGCAATCAGTTTCTTCTGATTATCCTATAAAAATTAAATAGTTGACTTTAATTAAAATGTAATTTTTAAATACCTAATTTAAGATTACGTTCTACAAAAAAGAAAACTTCAGTTGTGGCTAAACTGCTTTTTTTTATTTTATTTTTATAAGGTAACGAACATACATTAAACAACCGAATTGAGAACCTCCATCTGTTTTAAAATCGGTTTAAAATAATAACATTTAACTATCTCTCCTCCTTCAGAGGATTAATTTTTCGAGGAACGAAAATAATTGTAAGTAATTTAATTAGCTGCTGATAAAAAAGCGCCAGAAAAAAGTTGTGAAACAAAATTAAATTCTTAAAAATTATTTCGAATAAATCCCATATCAAGTTTAATATCTTTAAATAAACTAAATTTTAAGCGATGACCTTGCTGTATGTCTTCATAAGCATATGAAGTACTGAGAATTAGGTGTAAGTAAACATTTTTTACATTCTAACAAACCGAGATACTTGAATCACTCGACAAACGTATACAAATATTTGTCGCACCGTGGGAATCGATCCCGGAACTACACCGAAAGATAGCATTCAGAACGAGTTCCATAGACACTTGGGCCGTTGATTGAATAAGTTTAATAGTTAGTGATGTTCCCACCCAGAAAACTAATCGGTCTAATCGATGATTTATTAATCGATTAATCTACTAACTAAAATTATAATTCATCTATGCGAAGGCTTCACATGTACTGTACTATAAGAAACTTCTATTCCAATTATTCTCGTGAAATGAATTGCATCCACTTTTATGTTTTGGATTTAAAAATTAACTTGATATAATTATAATGTAAGACTATTAACAGATTTATGACTCAAATTCAAAGACCATTTTCTATTGGTCAAAAAATATTTAGTACTATAGTTTAAAATTATATTTTTTTTATTTTTTACGTTCCTTATTTTTTTTTTCTTACAAATCCAAACAAAACCATTATTAAATCCATTAGTATAATTTTATTTTGACGGTTGCTTGTTAAAAGTGCTCTTAATATTGCGTTTGAGTAATTTAATTAATATAAGGAAAATGACATCGGAATTTGTCTTTCCCTGGTGTCCCAACCTGCCTGTCACAGCTTATAATGGCAGTTATTAATTAAAAAGTTATTCATAGAATTTGAAACGTATTCCACAAATTTACCTTTGTTATAACAAACTTGGCTCGACACACTGCCGCATGTCTAGATTATAAGTACCTATACTTTATATCAATATTTTCTTAACGTACACCGAACTAGTGATTTATTACTTCAATTTACAAGTTCTACCACAAAAAAATACATAATAATATTGAACATGTCGTGAGCTCTAGTTACGTAGAAAAAAAAAAAACAGTGGCACTCTGGGTGTGCCAACAGAAGTGAAAACTTGTGTTATTACGTATGTACGTATTTTTTTAATTATCAAAGCTGTCGCGCCGTGAGTTCATTGGTTTTTTCCTATCTCAAAAAATGACCAACACGCCTAAAGAAATTTCCATTAAAAAAAGTAACTATTGAAGTATGATTACTAATCGGCGCA